CGGAAAGTAATTTTAATCGATCAATCGAGCTTGTCATTAAGATGAGTAAGGTAGTTTATTACATGAAAAAAAAAAATTTAAATATTAAAGAGTGTCATTTCAGTCAAAAAACTTTTGTCCCTAGCCACCTTTTTTTTGCCCTGACTTATCAAAACTTTATAAATATTAGAATGAATAAAGTATGTTCAAGTGTTTTCACACTTTTATTATGGATTTTCATTATCGACATATAATTTTTGTACCATTTTCGATAAGCCATTTAGAATCCTCTCAACTTGTGATTGAGATCTTTATTTTGACCCATCGTTGCAATTGAGTATCACTACAATTATTAAAAAATCATAGTAATAGCAATGTTTGAGCACATATCAATAATATCGTCATTCGTATTATTGACTTTTATCCAAAATGTTATGACATTAGCTAAAGTTACGTCATAATACTTGTGCACTATTCAGATAACTATGAAATCGCATCTCGATTAATGCTTGAGAACACCCTTAATCATGAATTTATGGATAGCATCATTAATTCGTTCAATACCTGGCTCGAATTTTCTGAAAAGAATAATATTCTTGAAACCTTTGAATTGTACAGAAAAAATCCAGATGACTTGGTAGAATTTTGTTTGAATATTGTGACACTAAGTTAGGTTTAGAAGGTTATAATTATAAACAAGTTACCCAGGCATTACCCGGGTAATTGATTTAAGTCATGGGCAAGAATCGACGGACGTGATGAATGGAAGGATGATCACGATAGCTTTGTTCGGGGCGGGGCACATAGCATTTGAGAAATATCTTATAAAAAAAGGGACTTTCTAATAACAACCTCGGTGGTGTGATAATAAGTTGAATGATCATGACAGCTGTGTGCGGGTGTGGGGCACATGGAATTATAATGCACATAGCATTATAAGTGAACTTCTTTAGAAGAAGCTCGGACATAGCCTTGTGACTCAACATCAGTGAATATGTTGAAAAAAGGCTCTGTAAAAAAATAAATAAATAAAATAAAAATAAAATGTTCATTCTTAGTAAAAAAAAAAGTCCTTGATCGCTCCATATAAGTCACGTGCAAACGTGCAGAGAGAAAAAAAAAGCAAATGAGGTTCCGTAATAGACACATTGACTAAGCACTGAGGTCGAATAAAGAAAAGTCCTACATGTATCCGAAGCAAAGCAAGAAATGACTTTGAAGTAAATTGAAAAGTCTTTTTGGAATCGAAATCGTATCACTGGACGTAATGGATTATTGGACGGTTACGACGATTATGGGCATAATAGAAGAGGAGCAAGGTCAAAACAATACTCTGTTGAAGGCCCAGTGACTTCGATTAAAAAAGAAGAGAGAAAAAAAACATCAGTAAAGCCACAAGACCTATGACTTTACTTAATGGAATTACCTTAGACCTTGATTTGAAGACAATAGAGGTGCTGCGCTCGAGCCAAAAAATATAAAGCTGAAGTGTGGGTTAAGGAGCACGTGATGGATCTTAGATGGACGTGGCATAAACAAAAGGATCTGTTGCCTTAAGAAAGCTAATTAAATCCTACTGAGTGGGGAAAAAAAAGGAAACCCGATTGATAGGGACGTGGCGATGATCTTGGGTGGTCACGACAGTCTTGCGCGTAGAGGTTGGATCCGAATATTCATGAATGAAAATGTATATTCAATTAAAAGTGAATAGTTGGGTACACAAAATTCACGAATAATAATGAATTAAATCATGAATATTCAACGAATATCTGTATAAATATTCTACTGTATATGTACAAATATCTATATGAATATTCAACAAATATTCATATGAATATTCAACAAATATCTGTATGAATATTTGATGAATTTCATGTAAACATTCGACAAATATCTGTGCGAGTATACTTATCGCATAAGCGCGAAATATCGCTCGTGAGCATTATTTTAAAATCGGGTGCTTCAAAGATAACTTACATAACGCAATCCTAATGTAGCACATAATTTATTGTTGTGATAGATATAAATTGATGCTCCATATGCACACTCTATAAGTGCAATTCACATGCACTTTCTCTAAATGATAATTTGATTGTCTTAATGTAATTATTTAATATTAACTGGCTTGTCTCTGTTAGAAATTTGCACCTGGGAGTTTGCACTTCAAGTGAGTTAATTGTATATTGATATAATTTAAAGTAACTAGTGGTTTTTTGTGCATAATACAGATTCGAATCCTAGCCTGAATTTGCTTTGTACTTCGGATCGAAGCCGAATCTTTAGAAATATTCACCAGATTCGATCTGTGTGGAACACTAATCCAAACCACTTTAATTTATCAATACTATTATTGTTAAACTTATCATATAATACATTTGTTAAAATACTATCTTTGCTTTAAATTATAGACTAGTAGTAAAATAGTGGCATTTTATATGGTTGGAGCCTTATGTATTAAGTTTTGCATTTAAAAAGAATATTAATACACTTCTAGCAGACCAACTAGTATCTGTTATAAATAGTTTTTTTTTTTTTGGCCAAATTTTGCGATTTATTATAATAAAAAAATGCTGATAAAAGAATCAGTAAGACAAAGAAGAAGGTAAAGTCAAAAAAAAAGGCAAAGATAAAAAAGAAGGCAAAGACAAAGAAGATGAAGAAGATAATTGTAGTAGAGACAAGTAAATTTGTAAAATAGTTAATAATGGATTAAGATGATCTGGGCTAATAGCCTTTAGATTGAATGGCCATATACCTGTGGTTCTAAAGCATTACAAATTGTGATAGGCGTGTAAGTTGTAATATAAGCTAACCCTTAAACTTCAGTAAACATGTACTTGGTTACAAGTTTTCCATTATTTTTAACCCAAAACTTTTCATATTCATTACTATAAAATTTTTTTAGCATAGCAAATAGCAATTTGACTAGCTGCAAAATATGAGTAGTATGAGAAGGAAGTGTATAAAGAAGTATGTTGTTTCTGTAACAAAATTTAATATTGGTATAGTTTATATAACTCTTAGGGCTCTGACATTTATTATATAATATCCATTTACTATAAGGCTATCTCCCTCTCCTTCACATAAGATCTATATAATTGGCCAATTTAGAAATTATATAATTTCTTTGTGTAATGTAAGATATTGATATAATACATACTCAACTCCCACCTTCTAAAATATTATGTAATAAATATCACAGCCCTTATAGCTATCCAGAATTAATAAAAGAAAATATATAGACAAATAGAACTAACAAAATGCTTAATGTATTTTTGAAATAGGGATTCTCACATGTATTCCATTTTAGTAAATCTTATGACGAAGCCAGCAGGAGCTCCATTTAAGAGGCCTGAGATTATGCATTTTCCTTTAAAAATAAACAATAGTGGGATGTATGTTCCAGTAGCTGAAATAGTCAGATATACAGAAATATGTTTATAGAAGCTGCTATTTGAAACCTGATGAACCTGATATGCTCCCTTTCTGGCTAAACTTTTTAAAACTGGGTTCAATAACGAATCCTGTCTTATCCTAAAACAATTGAACAAAAAAAAAATCAAATAAAAAATAATTAGAATAAAAAAAAATCAAATAAAAAAAAATCAAATAAATAAAAAAAATTAAATAAAAATAAAAAAAATAAAAATTTAGGAGTTTTTGAGTCTTTACATGGATGTAACTACTTTCTTTGGGTGCAAGTGGTCTTTTCCTAGATGTTTTTTGCTTGACCAGTTTTTCTCCAAAATTTATAACAAAAAGTGGGTGATTTGGCTTACCCCCTCCAAAAGATCGGCATTGTTTACCTCCCAAATTCAAACGTACCCAGGAATGCAACCACGTGCCTTGTTTATTGGTAGATATGTGATGCAACGTAGTCTATAAATATGGGACCTCCATGTGACTGGGATTAGGTCTCTGGCATAAAAGGCATCTGGAAGTAGTCGGTAGTCGGATAATAATTTGTTGGATTTTGTAGTCGAGATATACAAATATTACAGTTGTTATAAAATTTTTTCTTAAACCTGGCATGGGTTATAATAGTGTATTTTTCTTTTTCTTTCGTTCCATTTGTACTATTTCTTGATAGAGGTAGTTCTTTCTTTGTTGGCCCTTGGGCTTTTCTCTTTAATTTTCTTTTTTTATATTTCATTGTACCCCTTTTATTTTCCTTTAAAATTTCCCTTTCGTTCTATTTGTTTTTTGTTTTTTTAGTTAATTTTTCATTTTGTTTTCTTGGTATTATTGGTGGTTTTGTATTGGATATAAGATCATCACTTTCTTTTGCTCTTGGTAAAGAAAGAGAATATGAAGGGAAAAGCTTTGATGGGCTGACAAAGTTTATTTAACTTGTATACAAGTTGGTGCGACAAGTTACATTTGGGCATGTTAATCACAGCCGGGTGATGTCAGGCTTGCAATCGCTAGATGCCTTTTATAGTTATGAATGATAATGTATTGTTTGAGAGAGTTCAACTCTCACCTAAATATAGTCTTAAATAAATTGA